TCCTGCTGACACTTAACCAATCCACCTGTCACTCTCAAGCTCCATTTTACCTTCAATCATGAAAAAGACCCAGAGATATTTAAACTCCTTTGCTTGGGGCCTTCTTGGACAAAAGCTTCCTATAAACTGCTGTTGAAATATGGAAAACACTCAGACACTAGTCTCTAAGTCTTTAAAGACAGAATATACACACTCATGCAGAACATACAATAAAAATTGTTGATATATTTAAATGCAACATCCATCCATTATCTATACCATCTATCCTGAAGAGGGTCGTGGGGAGCTGGAGCCAATCCCAGCTGACAGTGGGCAAGAGGCAGGGTACACCCTGGACAGGTCGACAGCCTATCACAGGGCTCACACTTAGACAGAGACAACGACTCACTCCTACGGGCAATTTTATTGCCACCAGTCAAACTAAGCTGCATGTCTTTGGACTGTGGGATGAAGCCGGAGAACCCAAAGGGAACTCACGCAGGCACCGGGAGAACATGCAAACTCCATACAGAAAGGCACCAGGCCGGCCGGAACCTGCTTGCTGTGTGGCAGCCCCACCATTCCACCCTAAATACATCATTCATAGTGATTAACTGTAATATTAATAATTATTATTGAGTTTGTGTTTTTCAGCTAATGTTAATCACCATAAATGTGAAACTAAAACTGCCAGTACTAAAAATAGGAAGTTTTCACACTACTATTCCTCTAGTACTATCTGCTGCACTCCTGGGGCTAATGTACATATGATGCTGTACCAATGTGCCTGACTTTCAAATCCCAGAGCAGAGCAGCTGGACAGCTTGTAAACCTCTGCTACTTATGCAGTGCTCAGTTTTCTCACACAGAACAGATTTGTTTCATGCATGGACTGTGCTCACTGAAAGTACTTGCACACACCAGGAACAGAGGCACCTTTGACTGTCACAGAGCTACTCATTTTCACTCTTGGGATTTGTTATAATTCTGATGCAATAGGCCTGATATAAACTGAAAATGGGGAATTTTCTATCTGTGGGACAATGGCCTTTTGTGCAACCAGACATGTTTTGAAGTTGACATCTTTGCCCATAAAATGATGGCAAAATTATTCTTGGGATGAGTAAAGTCTTAAAGAAAGTAATGACATTGAACACATTTTTACAGTTTGATATAGACTGGAGGCCACGGTATTAATTAAAACGCACACATGTTCAGTTCCCAAACTGTTTCATCTCACTCTGAACAGATTACAA